AAGTGTTATTTTCATTCTCGAAGAAGGTGACTACACCCCCCCCCCCCCAAAACCCCCCCCCCCCCCCCAAAAAAAAAACCGGAAAGGTCAACCAATATGACTAAGGAACATATAGTTCCCTGTGCACCTGTACACTTAGTGTGGTTGGAGACATTTAAACACTAACAGATGACTCCCTACAAAACATTTTAAAATCATTGCCTTTGATTCACATGACATTGTTTTTTTCAATTTGTAATTTGTTCTAATAATTTAGAAAGCTTTGCATATACTTACTTGCAAAAGATATGACTTCTTCCATTAGTTTCAATCTATAAATAAAAGTTCTATGATGCAATAAATTGGAAGAGAAAATTGATTATTAAAAACATATGCTGAAGATTATGATGACGATGAATATATTGCAATATGATCGTATCGGATATACATTGTTTGGAAAGCGCTAGTAGTAAAAAGTAAAACATTAGTTACTAGGCAGTCAATTATCAATGCTTAATCTGCATTGTAGACTGTTTTCTAAGAACTATTTTTTCTATCTTTGATGATTAATAAGTCATTATTACATTTTATCAAAAATACCAAACTCCAAGCTTAATGTCCATATAACAAAACCAAACGCTCGACTATATTAAACAACGGAACGAAAGGAAAACAACAGTCATATTCCTGCCTTGAAACAAGCATTTTCGGATGAAAATAGTGGGTTTAACCTGGTTTAGTAGCTAGCTAAACCTTCCACTTTATCAACAAAATTGGATTAGCAACCCAAACAGACATAATTTGTTACGTGACAACAAACGGGATCCAGCAGCCAAGTCACGTATTCCTATATATATATAAGTTTTAGGATTTGTGCAACAATATTGATAAAAGATAAAGATATAAAAAAGATGGAATGAAATCGTATTAACAGATATTTCGGACCAACAAATAGCCTTCATCAGTGTCAGTCCCTTCTCAAAATGTGATATAACAATGAGTTCTGTGTGTGTTAATAGAGCTCACACATTCATACAGGTGATCTTATACTATGTCAAATAAGGTAGACGTGAACTGGTATCTTTGACATTACTGGATGTGTATTTTGTTAACCTACAATGTTTTACCATTAAGAACGTATGGGTCTAAAACGTGCGTGAAGAATTTCAACGAATCGTTTATGCTATATGAATTTGTTGCATTAGTTTAAGATGATTTTAAGTTTTTATCATGTTATCTAGTTGATGAATTTTTATTTGTAAATAAGTATTTTCGCTTTAAACTAAAGTTTCAGTAAATTGAAGGACTTCATGTCTGATTAAAAATAATTATATATATATATATTATAATATTTGAAATAGCTCTTGCCGCGATATAGCCGTTTTGTGCTGATGAGGCGTAAAGCAAACACCAATCAATCAATCAATTTAACCAGACAGACTCTACAAGAACATGGTATATTGAACTAAATTTTTGGTTTTATAGCAATACAATTTTTATTTCATGTTTTTCATTACATATTTTACGTAACGATGATTTTGTGAATTTTTCTTTCATTTTCTATGTTACATTTTCATTTTAAAACTATAAATCCATGACCCGCGGAACGGATGGTGCTCATCTTTGCCTCATTGTCTTCTCTGTAAGGTTGTACTTTGTGTCATATTACTTTTATTTATATTGTCTTACATATACCGCGTCGGCCTTTTTTTCATGATTTGATGACAAAATGGGCAGGTTAAATTTACACTGTGTATAATTTTTGCTGAATGAGAAATACACGCGAAAAATAACTATATCGTATTGATAAAGATGTAAACAACATAAACGTGTGTAACTGACAAGAAATTGAATACAAATGAATATGACTAATACAAACAAAAATACACATAATTCAGAGAACTTTTATGGAACGTAAATTATGTACATTGGAGCATGCTAAAACTTGAAGGTTTTGATCATTACAGATATACAAAAATCCATGTAAATGAGAATTATTTTCATTTTATTTTTACATTACATACAAAATGTTCGGATTATGACATAAATCAATAGATTAACATTCTCCATTTCCATTCTCATTCCCCATTTCCATTCTCAATTTTATTTAACATGACACTGATTGCTGCGTTATCAAAAGGTGTGGCATGTATGATTAGTCAATATAATTATTATGAAAACAGAGATCTTAATTAAGTATGCCCATTCTTGAGATCCGTCGAAGAACACAAAAGACTCGGTAATTTACAGTATAATGTATGAAACTTTCGAACAACTATAAATCTTTCAATTTGCAGTGAAATTTACGCGGGGTCAAATTTTCGCGTTTTTTAGTAGCTACGAATTAAGCGAAAATTAATCACACGCGAAAAAACCCGATATACGGTACATCCAGTTGTCATTTTTATTCTCAGGACTATCATATAAGATCACCAACAGACTTTAAAATTTTATTTTAATCAAATGCAGGATTTATAACATTCGTTTTCGGTGAACATTATTAAGAAACAACAAAACCTCTACCTTTTTCTGTGCGAATCCATCTCCGAACTCAACTATACACATACCACAATCGCCTAGAAATATAAAGAATAATCAACTAAAACACGTGTATATTATGTAAATATTCTTGAGGACTCTTTGTGGGTGGTAAAGTGAATCCAAAAAGTTAAGAAAATGACTTCAATGTACTTTATAATATTTCATTATAAAAAAAAAACAAAAATTAATTACAACTAGTATGAATAGCTTGAATGTTCATAAAAAGTAAAATGACAAAAATATCGAACTCCAATAATATTTCAAAACGGAAAGTCCCTTATCAAATGGCAAAATCAAAAGCTCAAACGCATCAAACGAATGGAAAACAACTGATATATTCCTGAATTAGTACAGGCATTTCCTTGTGTAGAATGGTGGATTAAACCTGGTAATATTGCTAGCTAAACCTCTTACTTGTATGACAGTCGCATAGAACTCAATGGTATTGACAACAAAATGTGTGAGCAAAACAACCAGACAAAATAGGTAAACATGTCAAAAATTGGGGTACAGCAGTCAATATTGTGGTCTAATCGCAATCACTATAAAAAAAGCAACTCTGTCAACAAAGAAAAACAAAATGGACTATAGATACTCTATAGACAAAGTACATAAGCAAAAATGAAAGACAAGAATACAAATATGACCATACCACAATAATACAATGTAGGGATGTATAAATACCGAGCCACGCCAAAGGATATTACCAAAATTGGACTAAACAGTAAAGGTTTAAAATATATAAAGACACATAAAAAGAACAATGTTACACGTAATTGAGATGATAAACAACGTCAGTAACTAGAATCTACACTTCAAGACCATCATGTATTATTTGTGAAGCTGAAAAGGAATATTTATCAACAAGGTCTTGGTATTTTCTGATGGATTTTTTTTTTTAAAAAGGACGCGACATTCTTTGACATAAACCTGATTCCTAAATTTTCTGCTCAGCCAATGGTGACGTTTTATAAACTGAGTAGCTTAAGCTGTAAGCTCTTGAATACCGAATGAATTGGGAAATGTATATTCCATATGCGTTGAAGTTGGTAAATTGCTGTTAAGGTGGGAGAAATTTATAGTTTCGAAATTGAAATCGTCTCGTTTGTCATAGACTTTCCACAAATGTAAGAAGTATGTAAGTAAAAATATAACAGGCAGTCTACTGTTCCTAGTATTGTAATTTACTAAGTTTGTACGAAAACTTCAACTTTTGATGATAATTAAAAATTGCAAATGTTTCTTCAGTATTGTAATTATATAAACTGTCCACAGTGGCTTTCATCCCAATCTTGAATTATAAATATCCTTTCATATTTTTTATAATCCATTTTGAATTTTCGTAAAATGCAGTTTGGTTTGCTTATATACTACAATACATTTGCCCAATCAATTATGCTTTATTTACAATTGGAAATGTTTCTCTGGAACCTATATCATTGTTAAGTTACTCTTTTTGAATAAAACTTTGTAAAGAATTACACTGTTTGAACCCTTCAGTACAAATAAGTCAAAGACTTTTGTAATGTATCAAATCACTTTGTCCAATCTCTTGGACAATTAATAAAGCACATTATATTCCATTTTTTAATATAATACCGATTTAAAAAAGAGGCGAAAGATAACAAAAAAACATTCAAACTCACAAGTTGAAAATAAACCGAACACGCCATGGCTAAAAAAAGAAAAAGCCACACAGACAAAGAACAGTACACAAATCACAACTTAGAAAACTAAAGACTGAGCAACACAAACCCCACCAAAAACTGGGGGTGATCTCATGTGATCCGGAATTGTAAGCAGATCCTGCTCCACATGTGGCACCCTTCGTGTTGCTAATGTCAGTACAAAACAAGTGATACGTCTAATTCGGTATGTCATATTCGGGGAAAAGGGGCCGAGATTGTAGTTACGACAATTGGAACATATCTGTAGGGCAGTCTTGGTTTAAAAGCTTCCTTGTGAGCAGCAACCCTCTACCAAGGAAATCATGATAGGAAATACAACCCTGGAATATCGTATCAACTGGGAGATATATACTCCGTATGCAGGTGCTGCTGGAATGTTGCTGCATAAAATTGGAAAGTTCACAATTGGGAAGCTGAAATCATCTCTTGTGTCGCAGAAAATCCCGCTGACGGAAAGACAAGAACTTGCAAGCGCAATCTAAATATATTGTTGCTGTTTATTTTCATATGCTAGTAGTGTAATATAACCATGTATAGCTATTGTCTTCTCAGCTCAATTGAAAAATCTCATGTAAAAGTGAAAAACATTTTCATCGTGTAGGGTCAATAAAACAGATGAAATGCCGAGATGTATCATTGCCATGTCACTTTATAGCATCTACTGTGTTTGAGAATAGTCGGACAAAGAAAGATGTCAATCTAAATGGTTGAAAGCTCAGAGAAATAGAGCAAGTATATAATTGCAATTCAAACCCACCATATATTTATAATATATATAAGTATTTCCAATACCTTCAATATACTGTCTTTTTAAATCTGTAATTTTGTAACCATAGAAGGTTGTACAATGTAACATCCTCCCACCAACACTTTTATGGCCTTGAATTTCCTGTTAAAAATAAATAAGCTTAAACATTACAAAAAGCTGTTTAAACAATTTCAATACTTTTTTTCTGACAGCACACTTGTATGGCCTTGAATTTCTTGTTTAAAATGTATAAGCTTAAACATTACAATATAAGGCTATTAAAACAACATAAATACTTATTTTTTTATCAGAGACATTCAGAAGGGTCAACAATCTCCATAGTTTATGAGAACATATTATTAAAAAGGTCAAGGTTTTATCTATATCTACTGAATTCTGTTTATGAAAATTTTCTACAAATGATAAAAATTCAATTGGGCAACGTTTTGTTGCATTTATTTATTACAGCACATCTAAGGACACACTTCTATCTGTTACCAAATTAGGAATATTCTCCTTTACTGAATTTCTCTCTGAATCGTAAATCCAACTTATTTTAAATTTTAGCTTAAAAGTACGAACAAGGGTCACAATATACTAGTATAACGTTTGTTATGGCTTTTGTGTAACACCAAAGTTACAACATAAAATTACACCAAAAGTTAAGCAATAATTGAATTTATTGAAAAAAATTTGGTCTTGCTTATATTTTGTTGAGAGAATTTCTACATCATATATGACAAGAAATTAAAAGAAGTTTTTTCAATATAAAGTTGGTAAAACCAATCAATGTATGTCTTTGTACACTTGGTTTATTTATAAGTTGAAGGTTTTAAATACCAAGTCCTCTTATATATTGTAATTTTATGGTTTATTTTTTAGTGATTGTGCTAATGATTAGTTAAATAAGTCCTATCCAACTGATTGTAACAGGTTGTTATTATGTTGTGCAATTACAACAGTCTTGCAGGTAAGTAAGAGTGGAGCCCTCACATACAATTTACACTCGGCTAAACAATGTATGTGCCTGACCTAGGAGACTGTTAATCTGTGGTTGACGTCCTATTTATTTTCTGTCCCATGATACTATTATTATGCGGTTAACGTTCTATTTATGTGTCTGTCTTAAGAGATTGTTATGTTATGGTTGACGTGTGTAGCTGTATGCAATCTTCTATTTTGTTTATACCTTTTGTATTAATGAACCATATTTTTCTTTTGAATTGTTTCATTCCGTCATATCTTTAATTCAGGCAGCAAAAATGATTTAACAAATACCATTTAACAACACGTTATTCTACTATGTAAATATTATTAGCTCATGGACTGACGCAGCCAAAGAAACATAACAATACAATGCTCAGGTCTATACATGAATGAATAGTTTGGTAATGTGGTTCATCTATGAGTTCAGTCGTCCATTTGTAGTCAGTCCTGTACTAAATAAAAATTAAAGAGATGTGGTATGATTGCAAAAGAGACTACTCTCCACCAGGGATTAAAAAACAATGAATGCTAACAATTATAGACCATCGTAAGGCCTTCAACAATGAGCAAGACCCATACAGCCTTGTAAGCTATAAAAAGCACTGAAATGACAAATATAAAACAAATCAAACGAGAAAACTAATGGCCTGATAACCGATTAGAATAGTCAACCCGTCAGACGCTAGATAGAAATAAGTGGTAAAGTCATTCCGTCAGACGATAGAAAAAAATGAATACCAGGAATGGTTCTTTCTCTGCTGAAAGTCAATCCGTCAGACGATAGAATAAATGATGGCCAGGAATGGTTGAAATGTTTTAAAGTATTTAGTATTACCCAGGTTGGGAAAAAAGTGCCTGAACATCATTTGTATTTAAATTGACTAAATAACTATTGTTTTATTTAAAGTTTTGATATTTCAAAGATATTTAGGGTGAGATGTACTTACCAAGTTCTTTGTTTTCCGACGACCCTCATCTTCAGATTCCGATTCCTGAAAAAAGACATACATGCATCTCTATCAAGACGGTGCGTGAAAGCTTTCGAAAAAAAATGATATGAAATAACTCCATATCAATTGATCATCTGTGATATCTTTAACGGTACAAATCTTATTGCACCAGATGTGCATTTTGAAAATAATGTCCCTTTGCTGAGGTTTGAGCCAAAAATATTTGGTAATCGAAAATCTGTTACGAACGTTTAAGAGATTACTTGATGCAGTTTAATGAAATAGTTTATTTAAAGACAAACAGTAGACAATATAGTTTTACTTCAAAGAAATTCCCGATAGAGATGGTTTTTCTTTACTTATATTAAAAGGATATATCTCTCCTGTTAACATTAAACAATATAGTAAAGTTTCTATTAAATATTGCAAATCTATTTTAGTTTAATAAAATACGAAGGAGATAAATCACAAAACCCCTACAAATGAACTTTAAAGCTATATGTGGTTTTATGACTTATCATTATATTAGTATGCAGAAGTTTGGTCACTTGTTCAATAATTTTTCGCTCAATTTGTTTATTTAAAGAACTATTTTTTTTAATTATAATAACGATTTCATTTCTGTTTTTCTAAGAGACAAATCAATGTTGAATGTTAAATGCACGTGGTGCGTCACTAAATTGTAAAGATAAACATGTGGTTACTAAGGAAAGAGGCGTTATTTTTATTGTGCATTTATTTGTATATTTTAAGATAATGACAACATGTTAGGTCGTCGCTATGAAACTGAGTGTGCATATTATTATAGAGGACTTGACATCATCCCCGTTTTTTTTGTAGGACTCGTGTTACTCAATAGTTACATTTGTATGCGGTGGTTGTCTTTTCGCCATAGTTAAAGTCGTATGTTTGTCTTCTGCTTGTAAGTTTGAATGTCCCTTTAGTATCGTCTGCTTCTCTGTTTAAACTACCATGGACATGAAGTATTCAGTTGTTCAACCAGCACGTACTTTTATACATTTTATTTCTGCTGTAACATTTAATTCGTTATGAGCTTCCTTGGAGTTTACAATAAAACATAAAAAAATGAATTTGAATAAAATGTTCACCATACCGATTTGGTAATCCAGTCTGTATCCGTCGAACCAGGCATTAATTCTATAACTTCTGAAACAAATCAAACCAAGACCTTAAAATGTTGTTTTTCATTTTAGCCATGCGATGTTTTCTCTTCGACTTATACGAATTTTGACTGACACTTTAAAATTTCTTTTGTATTTTTGTGCGCACCATTGGTGGTAATGCCTTATTTTAAACACTCGTCTGTAAATTCAATATTTAAGTAACTTACAATGAAGAAATATTAACTATTATTTCAATGATTGATCCACTTTAATTGCATTTTTTTAATATTTCATTCCGAAGACTGGTTGAGCAGCCATACACCGTATATAAGCAAAGGTTTTATATTAGAATAGAGAATGGAAACGCGGAATGTGTCAAAAAGACAACAACCCGACCAAATAGCATAAAACAGTCCAGGGCCCCCAATGGGTCATCAACGTAGCGCGAAAATTCCCAACCCGAGGGCATGCTTCAGCTGATCCCTAAATTACCTTACTTATGTAATGGTCGACGCTTTTATATTTCTGAAAGTTAACAAGTGCGCATTAAAGTAATGTCCGAACAAAAATTAATGTTACCTGACATCGTTATTGTTATGACTCAATGTAATCGTTGGATTAATTTATAATTAACAATTAACATCAACATCAACATCATTGCATATGACGTCCATTTGATGTATACTGATATATATATATATATATATGTTATCTGGCATATATATGTTGTCTTAAACATATATGTTGTCTTGGATATGCATGTTGTCTTGGATACATATATTTCTTGGATATATATGTTGTCTTGGATATACATGTTGTCTAGGATATATATGTTGTCTAGGATGTATGATTTTATTAGTTTTTGGCTATGAACTAGCTTTCAGTAACTGAATACTCTTAGATTGGTACTTCGTTTCTTTATAAAAATATTAAAATGAGGGAAGTATAACCGCAAATCCAATAAGAAACTAATCAGAAAATAATGAAGTAGACGTTAGTAAGGGAATATAAGGAGATGAGGTATGATTGCCAATGAGACAACTATCTACAGGAGTTCAAATGAAGTTGATGTAAGCAATCATACGGCCCTCTACACAAAGTGTTTTTTTTTAAAGTTTTTCTAAACTGTGTATCGATATGAGTCAGGTCTTTTATAAAAGATATTTTTTAGGGGGCGGGGCTTTTATTATTTTATCGATAGTTGCTTTATTGACATTCATCCCATTAACTTTTATTTCAGTTTATATACAACTTACCAGCCATCACGCTGAAACTTCTAAGTCCAATTTTGCTTCAACCAGATGTTATGATGATGCAGACCACAAATATGATAGTTATTGTTAAATCTCATATGAAAAGATACATGTATAAAATTAAGAATGCATGACCATTAAAACTACCAATTGTGAATCTTAATATTCAATACTTTAAGTACAATCTCAACAAATTAAAGCATATTTCGTAATAAGTAAGTAATAAAAAAAGCATTTTATACACATTTGATCATGCGTCCGTATATTTAAACATGCATTGGGATAGTAAACAGGATATGCGAAAAAGGTAAAATAACAAAAATCACGAACTCCATGGCAAACTCCAAACGGAAATGACAAATATAAAAGCTCAAACACATCAAACGAATTAAAAACAATTGTTATATTCCTGACTTGGTACTACCATTTCCTTATGTAGAAAATGGTGGATTAAACCTGTTTTTATAGCTAGCTAAACCTCTCACGTTCATGCAAGTCGCATAGAATTCCACTATCTTGACAACAATGTGTATCACTATAAGAACAAATAACTAGTTCCACAAAGAAAAACAGAATGGCATATGAACATTCTACAGATCAAGTACATAAGGAAAAATGAAAGACAAGAATACAAACCAAAGCACAATAACACAATGTGGCGGGATGTATAAATAACGAGCCATGTCAAAAGTATATTACCAAACCTGGACTAAACAGTAAAGTTTAATAATATACAATGGCAAATAAAAAGAACACTATAACACGTAATGAAGATTATAGTACCGAGAATCTATACTTTAAGACCATCATGTATCATTTGTAAAGTTAATATATATTTATCAACTAGGTCTTGGTATCTTTCAATGACCTGTTTCAGAAAAAGGACGAGACATTATTGGACATAATCCTGGTTCATCAACTTTTATTTAGTCTGAGTAGCAGCCGCAAGCTGCTGAATACCGAATGAGTTGGGAAATGTATATCCCATATGCAGATGATGTTGGCATATTGCTGTTAAGGTGGAGGAAATTTATAATTTCAAATTTAAAATCGTCTTGTTTGTCATATATTCTGGTACTAACATGACCGCTAATGTCAAATTCAAAGTATAAGTCTAAACATGAGGCGGAGGAAGCCGTGTCTGTTGTTTATTTACTTTCTAGTTCTGAAGGAAATATTAATGGAACCCAATCAGAAAAGTTTTGATTGTTAATGGGAAGAAAATCATCAATATATCTTAACGTGAAATTAAATGACCTGTTATTAACAAGGTTTTTTTCAGGGTATGCAATACAGGATAATTTTATATATAAAGGTTTAATTGAAGCATCTATATCAGAATTTTGGAACAACTTAAAATATGATTTATCTGAATAGTACATGGTAAAAATAAAAGGTTATGTCTACCTGTCATATCGATGAGTGAAGGTAATGATTCATCATACAAAACTCGATATATTAAATTAACTATTATGACTTTGATGACACTTTCTGATCATTCTTTATTAAAATTTTAATGTACACGGTGTTTATAGTGTTCATAAGAAAACTGTCACATGCGTTACTCTGTCCCATAGACTTGCACTTAGCAAAAGAAAAAAAGATTTTGTAGAATTAAAGCCTCCGCATAAAATGTGCAGTCATTTATTGGTGCTGGAGAGTAACTCAACAAGAAAACGACAATATGTACTCGACCAGTATGGTTAACAGACTGTGTTAAAACACGCAATCCTTGATGTCGGGAACATTATTTTTTGGGCAACAGTAGTTTACCGATGTTCAGATCCTTTCCAACAATATACAAAACGAGCATAAACAAAAAATGAGGAGCGAGACGGGATGCAACGCCAGTGTGAGCGTATCCTGCTATATATTCATCGCCCGTTATACCAATCCACACCCAGTAAACATGTCAAAATTTGGATTGAAGGATTGTTTGTTGTTCCACGTCCAGTGGCAAAATTTGTTCACGAAATCTTTAAAACACATGGCTCGAACAAAATTTGACTTTTCCTTTTTTATGCGGTTGCTGTATGAACCATACTCTAAAATAAAGCTACCTATATGACAAGTCGTTGTTATATTCATATTTGTTTCTTATCTATACATTATTCTCCTGTTGGAGACCGTATGTTAAAATGCAAGTCGAGTTTTTTATTGTGTTTTTTTATCTAGAAATAAGAAGATGTGATATGAGTGTTAATGAGACAACTCTCCATCCAAGTCACAATGTGTAAAAAGAAAACAATTATAGGTCAAAATACGGCCTTTAACACGGAGCCTCGGCTCACACCGAACATCAAGCTATAAAGGGCCCAAAAATGACTAGTGTGTTTGAAACAATTCAAACAGGAAAACCAACTGTCTAATCTATATGAAAAACGAGAAACGAGAAACACTTATGAACCACATCAACAAACAACAACCACTGAACAACAGGTTCCTGACTTATCTGTTGTTTTTTGTGTGAAGAATAATTTTTACTCAAAATTTAATACATATAACACGCTATACTGCTCCCAGTAGTATTTAGAAAACACTCTGATCGTTTTTTTCCTGTTGGTTGATGTGTCGTACAAATATGCACTGGATCACTTACTATTCTTACTAGATTAACGGGAACAGAACAAAATCAAACGCGAGCACTTGATCGTTGGATAATTTCTTTCCTCTAAGTAAAAAAGGAAGATATCCTGAAACACAATTGTTTGATCACCTTAACTAAACAGTTGTTAGTATCAGGGGTAAATAATCGTGAAACTAAACCAACCAAGGTACAATTGAAAATTCAAAACCTAATAAAAACTTTTAGTATAATTTAACCCTAAAGCATCACCAAATCCGGATAAAGAATTAGATATTTGGTGGATTGATTGTTGGTTGATTAACGTCCAGTGGAAAATATTGTCGGCATGTTCAGGACAAGAACATATTTACAGTTCATACAATAGGAAGGTCTTGTAATCGAGGCCGACAGGGATGAAGGTCGGGGAAATTTAGACTGCAACGGGAAAAAGAGGCTATATTGGATAGGGACATATATTTTGCCTTCTAACAGCCCACATATGACCTATCTAGGATTAATACCAAGGGTTCTCAACGTATACAGAGCATGGCACTTTCTCTACACAAGACATCGTATTTAACGTCCCTATTATGACCGAAAAATATTTCTGAAAACTTTACGCCAGAATATTTCGAGAGAAAGCTAATTAGCCAGGAAGAGGTCGCCTCCATTAATTGAAAATATATACATGGGCAACGATCTATTGTTATGAAATATTAAAGCAAAAATGGCAAAGCCAAAATAAAGGTCTTCAAAGCCTTCTCTTCTAGCATGTAGATGCATTTTGACTCAACGGTAGGAAATATTAAATTGCTTTCAGTTGTCTTCTTTAGAAATCTCGTCATAACTCACTCTGTTTGTAAACATGTATATACATCGCATGTATTTATCTATTATAAGATTATTTTTTTTTCGGTAATGACAAGTTATATTGGTCTCTTTGTTGGTAATGAATAAAACAAATATTAAGAATACAAAAAATCATAAAAAAAAACATCAAATTAGCATTAATGCGTGCAGAAAGTATAATTTCTGAGATCTTTTAATATATACATACAATGAAAGCTTCAATATAATATCCTCAAATTATACAATGAAAAAAACATCAAGATATCATGCCATCATCATTAATATGTTTTGCGTATAAGACAGTATGAGGAAATCTACTATATTTACAAATTATTTATTATACATGATAGAAAATAGACGCTATACAAATGTTTCCCTTGAACCAACAACATCTGATTGAATCAATATTGTTAAGTTCTTATTGGTTTATCGTTAATTGTATTCAAACAGTTTTTTTAAATGCCATCTATGTACACAATGTCAATACTTTTTGGGAGTTTTAAATGTTTTGTTGGGATTTTCCTTTCATTAACTATTTAAATCCATAAAATTCATATGTCAATGCACAGGTATAGAAAAATCGTTAACTTGCATACATTTGTATCTGTACTTTATGTTCAATGCGACCATTTACATGCTTATTTGTTTGTTATTATAGTGATTAAGATTATTATATCACAATGTTGACTGCTGTACCCCTATTTTTGACAGTTTTTCCTATTATGTCTTTTTGTTTTGTTCACACAACGTTGTCAATATAATGGAATTTTATGCGACTGTCATACAAGTGATAGGTTTAGCTAGCTATTAAACCAGGTTTAATCCACCATTTTCTACATAAGAAAATGCCTGTACCAAATCATATGACAGTTGTCCATTCGTTTGCTGTGTTTGAGCTTTTGATTTTGCCATTTGATTAGGGACTTTCCTCGGAGTTCAGTATTTTTGTGATTTTACTTTTTTTTTGTATAAAATTCGTTTCACTGTACTTAATCAAGTTTTTGGTGATTCAATAGACTTGATGTAGTTGATTATATTGTTTAATTTAAATCAATGCATATTGGGAGAACATCATCTATTTGCATATCATTTGCATATTTCTAGTTTGATATGAGATGAAAATGTTGCCTTTATTTCTAATACAAATTCATTTTCGAGTCTATGAGATTGCGCATTTCAGTTTCAATTAAGACGTTATTACAACAAATTACAATACGATAATTCGTTTTAAATGTAGGTAAATTAATATCACTTTGCTTTCATGTAACCATGGTACACTCGGGCATACTTTGGTTCTGTATTATATATAATTTCCCTTTAACCGCTTTTTTCATTCCGGTTTTGAATAGATATTTTTTATCTGACCTACAATAATTCCTCTGATTTATTTTATAATTGTGTTACTCCGCTGATGGAAATAGGTGGGCGTGTTTACTAACAAACACTAAACTTGTCCTTGTCACGGCTTTTGTCATTTTGTGTTGATCCTTAGTCTCTTTAAATGCATTCAAAACTTTTTTAGATTATTTATTTAATCTTGTATAAAGACTTGTTTATTGATGAGACCTATATATTAAACTTAAAATACCTTTAAATTTTTCATTGAAGTGTAATTATTTCATTGACCATGATTTTAAAGACACAAATGTGTTATACTAACATTTAACCTTTCCTTTAACATGATTCGGAAATTACCTGCACTGATATGTAAGGTATATTATGTATAAAAGAAAACACAAGATAAATGCAGGGATGCACCACTATTCATTAAATTGAGTTCATTAAGATCCACACAAAATAGTAATATCCTGAAATATCATCAAAACTAATTCTATATGTTTTAAATTGTGTTTTAACTAAACATGTTCCGTACTATTTGAATGTAAGTGGTAGTTATTTAATAATTAAAGTACTAGTTTTCAATATTCATTTGAAAAATATGAAATTGTTTTTGATTATTAAACGAAAAATAAGCGGCAAATGTGGTTCTTTTGAATGCTATATTTTAAGCATTTCATAATAAAATCTAGCACTTAAACTGTCTAAGATGTATTCGTCAATACAAATATGGATTTGATAAATATCACCTCGCCCATTGGTCAGTACGCCACATGCAGGTAACGTTTTTTGTTAATGTCATTTGAGCGAGAATACTACTTCAATGTTGTTGGATTAATGTAGGCGTATCAGAGAGTTGCAACGGATAGTTGGGTCAGATATACCTACATGTTTCGCATGACTGACTGATTAAAGTAGACATATTAAATGATTGTTTGATTGTTGGTTGTTTAACGCCCAATGGTTCTTAATTTTCATACGTTCAGTGGCCAATGTCGTGCATGTTCATGAAGAGAAAAAAAATTAACAATTAATGCAATAACGTGCAGCGACGGTTACCTTTTTTCTGCAATAACCGAAGAACATCAATGGATGACCATATTTCTATGCTCCAGTCGACCGAACAGGAAAGAAATATTCGAATACAATTAAGACTACAGAAGTTTACAAAAAACAGTAAAATAGCAAAATTACCGAATCCAAAATGGAAAGTCTTTTATCAATTGGCAAAATCAAAAGCTCAAAAGAATGGAAAACAACTGTCATATTCCTGTCTTGGTACAGGCATTTCCCTAATAGAAAATGGTGGATTAAACCTGGTTTTATAGCTAGCTTAACCTCTCACTTGCATGACAGTCAATACGTCAATCTCATAAATCGATATAGTAAATACAAAGCAAGGTAACAAAAAAAAAAACCAAAAAAAAAACAAAAACAAAAACTGAGTGAATCTCATGAAAAAAATAAATGAAGGAGCATAGGCGTCTCCTGTCAAGCATGCATCAACCACGATGAGTAAAACAAAAGACACATATATGCTATTTCCCGTTTGTGCTAAACTAACAAAAAGCGGTCATTTTAATCGTTTCATTTTAATAGTATCAATTAAAATTTAAAAACTATCATTTGTCTCCTTTTCTCGTTAACGTTATAGTTATAACAAACCCGATTTAATTCAGGTCATACTACATTAGCTTTATTTGACAAAAACTGTTCGGAATTTAGGGTCCTCAATAGTCTTCCATTCCTACTTCGTTATTTATTTCATTCGAGCGTCACTTTTTTATATCGGCAGATAGAAAGGGAAAGCACTGTTCAAAATAAGGTAAATTTACGATGAAGAGTTATATTTGTGAAAAGTAATATAAGTCGTACCTAACACAATACACTCATAGGTTATCATGATGAATTTTTTTCTGACTTTTTTTATCTCAAAATACCGAATACAAAAAAAAAAGAATTAGTAAACTAATATTCATATAATGAATGTTATGAATACATACAAATCTTTACGACGTGTGTCAGTTTCAATCTGTTATTCCTTTTCCACTAAGCAATATTTGATCATCTAGAAAAAAGTTTGCATTTTCCTACAAAAATGACTCGTATGCCAACAAGTCCTTCAGTATTGCATAACTATACTTACTAATACTTTGATTTGGATAATATAATGTATTCCATAAATAATATAACGAAAAGTAACATGCATAATGTCAATAAAAAAAACCCAAACAAATCGTATCCTAACAGTTATTCAACGAAAATATAGTCAAGTAAATAAATATAATTTAAATTCCATATTATTGTGTACAATTAGACGTAAATTTTAGGACTTAAAAACACTACAATTATATGTTTAAAATGAATTCTATACCCCATTATATTGGAAGTCGATAGAATAGAAATACACACGTAGTTAAAACCAATTTTGTAACGTTTAAATAGAATAGAAAGAAAAGAAGATGTTTATTTTGATTTGACTTCAAATTAATCGTTTAAAAAAAGATCGGTGGTGAAGGTTAAAAGTTCATCAAACTACGGGAGACAGCTGTCAAATGCTAGCTGCATCTGAGTACGGTAATGTTTAACATATAGAATAGGATTAAACAGAATTAAAAAAAGTGAATAGTCAACGAGTTATATTGTTTGAAAAGGTGGAATTACTATATACTTATATATTGTCAGTAAAAAAGTATAAAATTCAAAACGTCGATCAGTTTTTAAAAACCCAAAACAAAATCACTTATGTGCCCTAGAATTAATGCTAATACGCTTATAAAGTAACAAGAACGTTAAATCGACCAGACTAAATATTTACACAGTATGTCTCTAAATAAGTTAGCTATATACAAGTAATCATGTACTTAACCAGGATTGATTGATTGATTGTTGGTTGGTTAAAGTCCAGCGGCAAATATTTCATGCATGTTCAGGACGAGAACAAATTAGCAATAAATACAATATGTAGGTTCTGTAATGAGGCCGTCCGGGATGAAGGTCGGGGAAACTTAGACTGCCACTGGAAAAAGAGGCTATATTGGATAGGGACATATATTTTGCCTTCTAACAGCCCACATATGACCTATCTAGGATTAATACCAAGGGTTCTCAACGTATACAGAGCATGGCACTTTCTCTACACAAGACATCGGATTTAACGTCCCTATTATGACCGAAAAATATTTCTGAAAACTTTACGCCAGAATATTTCGAGAGAAAGCTAATTAGCCAGGAAGAGGTCGCCTCCATTAATTGAAAATATATACATGGGCAACGATCTATTGTTATGAAATATTAAACGAGGTATCGGATTTTACGTCCCAATTTTGACCGGACGGGGCTGCATATTTGTACCTCCCGCACAGCCAAACGGACGCCTCACTTTGGCGAGGGTTTGACTGCCGGCATGATGAAGACCAATGTTGACCATATTTCTATTCCCCAGTCACCCTTAGAGGTTCTAACCAGGAGGTCAATGTGGTGTTAATTAGAAAAATTACATCAATTATATTTCGGTAAAGACCGACATAAGGTCATGAGGTCATGAGGTTCCTTCAGGACTATTTTGCGTTACCTTGACTTTTAAAATCGGTTAACTAATTTTTAAACATAGGTAAACTTCTGTCACCTGTATACCAAGGTGCTCTTTAAATATTTAAAAGGTTATAGTTTTCCGATTTTAAGAATCATCAATGATAAGTTATAGCACGTGTTGTATATGATAAATCCAAGGACATAACTTCTTTGCAAATAACGATAGTTACGGAATAATCATATTTAAACACTGATCAATGAAAGTGGAATACAGTTTTTGCGATCATGGCCAATTCTTTATATTTAGCTTCAATGGTCCATTTAGTATTTACTTTTGGAGAGTGATTGATTGATTGTTGGTTGCTTATCGCCCTATTTTATTCTATATTTAACTGTTTTTATTTTAATGTGTTTAAAGAATAATTAGGGCATTGTATTTGATGATATACACAAATATACTTTCTACAAAGAGAGATGTCTCGCTTTTTGTAATTTTGATAGTAAAATGCAAATGTTGATAATAAATGGAAAATATTTGCAAAAAAAACGAAAAAAAAAATCTAGAGGCTCTAAAGAGCCTGTGTCGCTCATCTAGGTCCTTGTGCATAATCAACAGTGGACTCTCTCCGACATTGTAGACAAGAATATAATTCAGGAAAACAAATTTTTGTTGTTGATCTTAAATTGCTGACCATTTTTACTGTTTAGTTTTTCTCTATCTTCTTTATTTTATTATGTTGGGTAAAAAATCCTCATTAAAGGACAATCACTCCTATGAAGAGTGACAGTCTACTAACTTTATAAGCAAAATGTGACTTGTTTGTGGATCTTGCCTTACTGATCATATTTTTTATTAAAATTTCTATTTATCTATTACAATTTTTATCATAGACGCAAAAAATAAAAGGTAAAAATCGTCAATAAAGGGCAATAACTCCTACTATAAGATGTCGACGGAAACTTACTTTATATTGCCTGAAATGTTGATTTAGCCATGATGATAATTTTTGATTATTCAAGTTTCTATCTATCTATTTTAATTTTTAAGATATAAGGTAAAAACGCAAAATATTGGCAAAAATTGTCATAAAAGGGCAATTACTCTAATAAGGAGTCGTCTGACGATTTCGACTATGCATTCTTATTCGTAGATCTTGTCTTGCTGATCATCTTTGAACTTAAAGTTTATCTCCATCTATTATAGTTTGCAAGATAAAATGCAAAAATGAAAAAAATGAAACAATTTGCCTGTAACGGCAATAACTCCTATAAGATGTCGCCTGAAAGTTTTGACGTCATTGAACAATTAGTAGAGCTCAACATTCTGAATATTTTTGTTCAGGTCAGATTTCCCCTTTTTATAACGGTTTTCAAAATAATAGACAAAACTTGCATTTTACTCCTATGTTCTATTTTAGCCATGTCGGCCATCTTGGTTGGCAAGCGGGGTCATCAGACATATCTTTTAAACAAGATGCCCAAATGATTATTGTGTCTAAGTTTGGTTAAATTTGGTCCTGTAGTTTCAGAGAAGATTTTTGTAAAAGTTAACGATCGACGACGGACGCAAAGTGATGAGAAAAACTCACTTGGCCCTTTGGGCCAGGTAAGCTAAAAAGATAATGTCCATGACGGAAGGTTCAGGGCCAAATAACCTCCATGGAAATGGTAAATGTCAATGCTTGTAAAACAGAATACATGTACCAAAGACCATTGCCTTATCAGAAGTAGTTCCCTTTAATTACTTGTAAAACATGCAAAGGTTTTAAAGTCAATCAATACAATATTGATAGGTATGGGGCAATATAATCTCAATGAAAATAATCTTGCAAATGTTCAAACAACTGCATAATATTGACTTCATATATATCAGTGTTTATCTTAATCTAATCTAATCACAAATTTCACATTTGACATGTCAACTAAGGACACGTTTCAAAGTCAATATGCCATGACAATTGGGGGCTAAATAATATCCATGAAAATGCGATGAGCAAATGCTAATACAACTGTATACAGAATTCCATTTACAAACCACAAGTGGTTCCCAAAAAATAGACCTAATCACAAACTATTACATGTAAACTTCTGAAAAGTTTCAAAATATGTAAACCACGACTAAAAGAAAGGGCTAAATAAAACTCCATGGCAATAAGTTGTGCCGATTATGATACAACTGCATACCGAATATCATAGATCTATCTCTAGCGGTTCATATCGACTGGTCTAACCACACTAATACTAAATTGACGACGCCACTGACGGAAAGTGTACGATAAGTCTCGCATTTTGGCCCCTTTGAAGTTAACAAAAGACGACGAGTTTTGACAATAGGTAACTGAAAACTTTGAATCAGGCCAGCAATAAATCAAATTCAAATATTTGCCCTTCGCTTAAAAAATTACATATCAAAATCATAGTAGCGAACAATAACTCTAAAGCCATTTTATTTTATATTACGATACATATAATTTGGCTTTTAAATAATTGGCTTTTGATAAAAATGCAATTAGCAACCAGTCTACAATTATATCATCCAAAACAATCAACAAGGGGGTCATCGGATTTGATTTTAACTTAGTGCCCATTAAAAAAAGTAAAATATATGCCATTTGCTTCCCATGCCTTTAACATGTTTAAGGAGATGTTATATTTTGCCATTTGATGAAGGACTTTCCGTTTTGAATTTTCCTTGGAGTTGGGTATTTTTGTTATTTTACTTTTTATATCTATAAAATAGTTAAATTATCAATAATAAAGTAGGGTACTAACCAAGCCCACAAGTGTGGGAAATTGCTATGATTGCTTTTGAGAGTTTTTCATTTTTTTATAAAAAATATTCTTCTTAATTAATCGGTAACCGAGAGTCTGCTTCTTGCCCCGCTATTATCGCTATTTCTTTTGTCGTCCCGAACATGCATGCAATATTTGCGACTGGACGTTAAGCAAATATCAATCATCAATTAAACTTACATCAATCACAGACATGTTTTTTTCAACATGTATTTTTTTTAAAAACCATACATTTGTAGCAGGAACAATTCTGTTGGGGATTCGGAGATGCGGATCACAGCTAATACTAGCGTATTGACTGATTGAAAATGAATGCCAAATGTAATAACGCTTAAATAATCTAAAGTCAATGAAACAAAAACAGTATATACAAATATATAATTTAATTCTTAAATACAATTTTCATAATATCAAAATCCAGTGTAATCGCAATTGAGCAGTACATGGTATTATAGGTATGTGGCAGATACACTAACCTTCATGTTGAAAAACTCGGCCTTCCTCAAGAAATTTGACAAGGTTAGTTGAATAATATTTATATAAATATCAAAGTTTCTAACTGTTAGTCATCAACTTCTTTACACTTTTAAAAATAAGAAAAAATTATTTCTGAAAATTAATAAATGTCTTTATAATCAAATTATAAATACCATTCAATTTAACCCAATTATAACGATTAAACATTAAATGACATATTTATCAACCAATATGAAATTTGGAGTTAAAAGGGGAACTAATACCTATACACTTCCACATTCCTCTCCCTAAGACAATCGATAAAATGTATATCAAAATAATTTAACCTTTACAGGCTTATCAAAATAAAATAGTACGCAACAGATAACCCGCATAACATGTAAATGTTTAGCATAATAATTATTTGGTTACAACAATTAACATGCAAAATGAAAATAAGTCAATGTGTAGAACAAAATTAGGATAAGTGTTTGAAAAAAACCAATTG